CCACCATATAAGATATGCCTTGCTTCCCCTTGACCTTCTGCCATGATTGTGAGTTTCCTGAGGTCACCCCAGCCATGTAGAACTTTGAGTCAATTAAACCTCTTTCCTTTATACATTACCCAGTCTCAGGTAGTTCTCTATAGTAGTTTGAAAATGGACTAATACACCTGTCTATGTCTGAGTGACCTCGTCTGAAAAGATGATGATGTTCTCTATCTTATATGCTTGTTGATGGCTTCTTGTTAGGATTAAAGATATTAATACACAAACTGCTTTAAAAAATGTTTTATCCATAGAGAATGCACACAGCCTTCTCTTCTCAAATTCATTTTCTGCTCATTTAATGTGCCTGATCTCAAAAGAAAAAAACTATTTTCCAATTAATTTAAATGAAGGAGTAAACCCAGACCATGTTTAAATTATGCGTAAGTTTAAGGAGATTATTGGCCTTGTGTGGTGGCTCATGCCTGTAATACCAGCACTTTGGGAGGCTAAAGTGGGCAGATCACTTGAGGTAAGGAATTCAAGACCAGCCCGGCCAACATGGAAACCCTTACTCTACTAAAAATACAAAAATTAGCTGAACATGGTTGGCATGTACAAGTAGTCTCAGCTACTCAAGAGGCTGAGGCACAAGAATCGCTTGAACCAAGGAGGCAGAGGTTGCTGTGAGCCCAGATCACACCACTGTACTCCATCCAGGGCAATAGAGTGAAACATTGTCTCAAAATTAGGTAAATAAATAAATAAGAAAGTATTAGCCCCAGATATCTCTAGTTCACTCATGCTATGCTCTGAATCACTGTTTCCTCCTAAAATTCCTTTGTTGAAACCCTAACTCCCAATGTGAAGTTATTAGGAAATGGTGCCTTTGAGAAGTGATTAAATCATGAGGGTAGAGCCTCCATGAGTGAAATTAATGTATGCCCAAGGGAGCTCCTTTACCCCTTGCATCACATGAGGACAAAGCTAGATCTGTGAACCAGAAATCAGGCTCTACAAGACGTCAGATGTGCCAAAATCCAGGATTCTGAGAAATCTTGGATTTCTCGGTCACCAGAACCATAAAAAATAAGTGTTTGTTGTTTAAAAGCCACCCAGTTTATGGTATTCTGTTACACCAGCCCAAATGAACTAAGACAGCTCAATTTCAGGCTTTATGATATCAAAGTTTAAAAAATAATAATAACAAAGAAAAAATTCCAGCACGTGTGGGGACAACAGACAACTTTGCCACTCTCCTTCACTATTTCAAATTATTATCATAGACTACTGACTGGCTCCATTTCCAGACTCATTGGTTCTTCATAAATCTAAGTCACTGTCACACTCTCTCTGATGCTAAATTTCTATATTAATTACAGAAGCCTGAGGTGAAACATAGTTCTATGTATGTGTGTTGCAGGAGAGAGGTAGATAGTATCATATCAGGCATATTTGGGATTTGTATGTCAAAACTGCCTGTACTATCTTAGATGATGGAAGTGAGATGTCCTACATAGACTACTACTGAGTCACAAAGTAGCCACGTTATATAATATATATTATATCATATAATATATATGATATCAGAGAAATCCAAGTATCCCAACCCCCAAGAGCTTAAGTACTTCATCTTCCTTTATTCATTTCTGCCTGCCATGATATCTGCAACACTCCCATGTTTACTACTTTTCATTAGGCTGCATAAAATAATTATGCAAGTGTTTACAAGAGTATGTTACAAAGGATAAATTTTAATAGAGTGCATTACAGCCAATCATTTTCCTTTGGTGTCTCAAAGATCTAGATTAGAGTTTTTTTCCTCCTATTTAATCCTTTAGAAAATATTTGCAGAGTACCATTAACATTGTAGAGTACTATTAACATTAACATAAGTAAATTCTTCAATATCCCTTTATCAAAATACCATTACTAGTTACAACTCTCCAATTTCTAATGCACTTGCCACGGAAAACTTTTCCCACTCTATAATACCCACTTTAAACCTACCCCCTCATTTTAATACTTAAGTACTTACAGCCTTGAGAAGAGGAACCTTTCCTATGAAGACACTCAGTAAGGAGGAGACAAATCAGATCTTCCTTGTGAGGAACTATCCTACCCATAGCAGGACATGCCAGTCTCTCACCATACCCACCACAGAATGCCAACAGAACCCTATGACTATGGCAACAATCAAAAAAGGTTATACAGGTGTCTCAATAACCACTAGGTAGAAGGTACCAGCCCTACTCCCACTGAAAATGCATTAAAGTGATTAAAAAGGACTTAAAAACAGAGCCTGCACCTGAGTGGTCCGAAGTGGACTACATGTGTTAAGAACTTCGGCTCCGGAATCAAACTGCCTGGGTCCAGATCTTCTGAATTTTTGAAATGTAACTTAAGCGTAATGTGTCTCTTTCTTTGTCATATAATGGTATAATAATATGCCTACCTCATAGGGCATTTCTAGGAGTAAATGAAAAAATAAAGGTAAAGTAGCTAGGAATTTGCCTGGCATATAAGAATTCAAACAGATTATTCGTGATTTCTAATGCATCCATACATAATAGGAGCCTAAGCACTCTTCCTGAAATACTGATTTTATGAATCTGCCTAATATTAGTTATTCAAGATTTCCTAAATGTGATAAGACAAGGTCATCAGACACATCAATTATAATTAGAGTTGGAATATTCATGTCATTCATCTTTGATTTCTTAAAAAAGAATTATTTGAAAATGAGCTTACCTTCAGAGGAATGCACCATAAACATAATGCATTGATTTTAGGCTGTTGGTTAGCTGCACGATCATTTCTTATTTTCACTTGTCACCCCAGCTCCCAAATCTGCTAAAGTATGAGTTTAGCTACATAAAACTTTTACCTGTGCTAATGACCTATAAGTGCCAGTCAGTAAGATGATGAGTTCTCATTAGTGGTCTTCACCTCATTAGAAGCCTGCTGTCACTGATAATGGACCTCAGAGGTCAATACAAATCTCAGGAAGAATTCCCTTTAATTTAGTAGAGAGACAGGTGTGCGGAAGCCAAGTGCTATCTATACACGGCTGCATTGCACATGCCTACAACAATTGCAAAGTCATCTGAAGAAACCTAGCACTAAATCCCAAAACGATTCCTGCTCAAGAAACCACTATACCAAGGAGAAGTACAAAATTTAGATTTTTTCCTATCAAGATTTCAGAAAGTACTAAGAGTCATTAGATTGATCTCAATAACTTCCTGGGAAAAGCATCTGTATTAAACACCGAAGAATTTAATTTTTTTGAGAATTTATGTATATATGATCTCTCACTTGATAAATAAATGAGCTGCAGTAACAGTCTCCTTAAAAGAAAAAAAATGCAGTGTCATTCCTCCAGCTTTTTCAACAAAAGAGTCAATATTGAAACCTGAGGTAAAACAGCCAAACAATGTCAAAAGTAATGTGGGTATTTCTGTTATTTCTCAGTTCCTCTCCAAAGGAACTGTTCTGTCTCAGTGTGTATGGGTGATTTTGTGGCAAATTAGCCAATCCAGGATCCACTTAAAGGCACTTGTAAAGGTAAGAGCATGGCTACTCTGCAAGCTTTCTGAAAAACAGTTTCTAAGAAGTGCAGGCTTACATGCACAAGCTATCCAAAGTGAGATGTGTTTTCTGAGAGAAACTGAAGAAGAAAAGTCTAAATCAACCTTCTCTTCAAAATAAACAAGACACATCAATTCAAGAGAAATCACAGACACAGAAACGTGGCATTTCTGCCAAATACATATTTACAAACTATGTAGGCAAGAAGTTCTGAGATGCCACTGACACCCTGGCCATGTGTCAAGATTTATACTTAGTGACATTTGCAGGAACCAGGTAGCAAACTGAATCTCACATGAAAGGAATGAAATATGGAAATGTAAACCGAACCCCCAAATCGCGTTTTTCTTACAGGAAAAAGCAAATCCCCAGAGATCTGTGAATGGCTTTGTGTACTTATCTAAGCCATTTTTCTATAATAAAATATTCACATTTCAGAAAGGCAAAGGTGAAGCAAAGTAGTGGCAAAATGGCAAACATGTTTAAACGTTCAAAGTACTCTGGTGTCTATTCATAACCGCTCAGGAGCAGAAATCGAAAAACAGAATTAGATCTGGCTTCTCTCTCAGGCGGTTCGATGATGATTCCGCTGATGCTACAGAATTCAGGGAAAACTTCTCCAGCCAGTCAAGAGGACCAGGCAATTTGTAAAGACTTAGACTTCCCGTGAGCTCCTCGCTATGGCTGACACGGTGACAAGAATTATCTCCCAGCTTTCATGATTTCTAATCCGGAACGAAACCATGCCCCTCCCGAAACGATGCGTTTGAGTCACCTTCCTCCTAACTCTTCAGTTCTCTACTAAGGGCACTAGCAACCAAGCAGCCGAACATTCAATCTTTCACACACTCAGCTCCTCACTTGGGCAGAAGAGCCGGGATTTTGCCTCTCGTCAAACCTGTGGAATAAACCACTCCGTCCGACTCGGTGATACTTCTCAAAAAATGAAAAAAAAAAAAATCCTTCTTTCTTTATACATGTATTCTTATACATGTGCACACATTCATTGGTCTCTACAAAGAAAAAAATGTCAAACTCGCTGTTCGACAGGATTTCATTCACAACCTTTTCACAAAGTGGTAGCCGTTAGCCAATTACTCTTCAAACAAAAAATTAACACACACGCACACACACACACACACCCAAACCTTGAGGAAAAAAATCTGTCAGGTGCCGAGAAAGTACAGAGTGGAGAGCACAAGGGCCCCGGTCGCGGTCTCCACTCCCGGGCTGGAGCTCCCCAAGGACGCGCTGGGGACCGCGCTCAGCCCGGGGCAGCCCACAGCCCCGGCAGGTGTCGGCCCTCACCTCCTGCCCCCACCCGCTCCCGGGCTCGGGCCGCGGGGTCCGCAGCAGGTCTGGGGTGGGGCGGGGCGCGCGGTCGTCTGCTCTCTCGGAGCGTTCCGGAGCGCGCGGGCGCCACTTACATGGCGGGACGGAGCTGTAGGGCGCTTCCTGGCGGCCAGCCGACAACCGCCCAGGCGCAGAAGCACCAGCGCCGCCGTCGCGAGGACGCCTCGGCGAGGCTGATCCGCCCGGGCCGCCGCCCCGGCTGTGCGCGGCGCGCCGTTCTGGCTCCGCAAGTGCGAACCCAGCGCAGAAGTTGGGCTCGTCAGGCAGAAGTTGGTGTGCCGGGCTCGCGGGGCTGGCGCGGTGCGTCTCTCCGCGGAGGGAACCGCAGCAGCGCGGCCCCACCAGGCGTCACAGGCGGCTGGGAGCATGAGGGGAGCGGCCGGGCGAGCCCCAGAGGCTGGGTGGCCGCTGAGCTCTGCCTGCCCCTGCTCCGCCGGGAGCGACTGAAGCCGAGTGAGCCCAGCGGCCCGGCAGCCCCCGCAGCCCCGGTGCCATGGAAACGCGCTCGCCGCCCTCCCGCCCCAGCCCCTCCGGAGCGCTTAAAGAGACAGCCCCGCCGCCAGCGCGGGCTCGAGGCGCTGCCGGGCGTCCCCCACGCCCTGCGCCCTCCTCGCCCCCTCCTCGTCACCCAGGCGCGGCGGGGGCTGGGCGCTGGGGCCTGGAAGGGCAGTTGGGACGCAAAATAAGGGGCTTCGCTCGGTACTCAGCCTAACTCTGCTCCCACCTCTTCCTACCCGCCCCCTCCCGGCGCACACACTCTGATCCCCACAAGGAGCCCGAGCAGCCCGGGCTTTTTCCCTTCGTGCATCGGCCGGCTCAGAACCAAACCAGCTGTGCACAAGCAGAGGCCAAAAGAAGGCTGGCTGACTTTTGATTCTCTTGTTCTGCTTGCTCCCCATCCCGAGTCTGGGGAGTCGGTCAGAACACTAGGCTGAGGGAAGTGTGTTTGAAGTGGGAACCAACTGGCAGTTGATTGAATCCAACCTGCCAAGCCGACAGTTGCAGGACACATCGCCGGCTCATCCAGAAACCCTCCTCACTCAAAACGGGGTCATCTCTCTTCGTTTTATTTGGCTGTAAGCTCACCCCCCTTTAGGCACCAGATTTCAAAGGAGGAGCCAACGCTTTTACAAACTTACTCCCTCCTTTTCGTCAAACCAGCTCCTTTCTCCCCAAATATAAGGAGGAGCAGCCAGCCGTGGCCCCTCCAGAGAGGAACAGCGTCCGCTCCGGCTCGGAACGGGAAGCTCAGGGTGCGGGGCTGCCACGCGCAGCCTGGGACGCACCGCCAAGCGCGAGGCAGTCGCCAGCAGCTCAGGCCGTAGGCCGTGCCTCTGCCCGGCGCCAGCTGCTGTCTGGAAGGCAGCAAACCTCTGGAGTCCGTTTCGTGGAAATAAAAAGCTATGGTGCATCGTGCCCTCCAACAAAGGACAGTCCAGGCTCCGAAGCCATAATCTACTGTTTATCCCTGAAAAATATGGATCAATCCACAGTGGAAAGACTTTTTTCTTTGAATCCTAAACTTACCCCAAGTGGCTCTCCAGTGACTCATTCATAGTCAAAAACGGTACTTAAAGTGGCACCACCTGATTTCCTCAGTTCTGGGAGCCCTAAAAGGACCTTTCCCAAATGGTTATTTGGACTCCCTCTTGTCCTGCATATTTGAAATAACCATCTGGCTCTTAGTTTCCGTCTTTTGAGCCTTTGTTCCCTTTTCTTTCTTTCTTTTTTGTTTTTTTTTTGTTT